GGGCCAAAATAAACTTTTCCTCTTCTCAAATTTTTTATTGTAGGAATTTTGTCTCAGTGACAAATCTGACTACCTTACCTCTCCTCACTCTTGGCTAATGACCTTCCTTAATGCTTTGTTGAGAAAAGTACACCAAACTCAACCCAGATTAATAGACCCCAAATTGGATTCTCCCATCCTCTTCTGTAAAACTTCACATGCAGTATTCCCCATGGCAGGTAATGGCAATTCATCCTTCCAGTCACTTGTGCCATAGACTTGAAGTTGACTCTTCACTTTGCTCTTTTATTCACCCCTCATTTTCCATCTGTCAAGAAATCCTGTGAGCTCTCTTGTCAAAGTAGATCCAGAATCTGATGTGTGACCACTTCTCACTGCCTCCACTGCTGCCACCCTTTTCTAAACTACAGTTTTCCCATGGATTGTGGGAATTGTTTCCTGACTCTCCTTGCTGCACCCTGCTCCTCACTCACATTGATAACTAATCCAGCAGCCAGAGTAGTTGTATTAAAACATAGAGTCAGATCATATGAATGCTTCTGCTCAAAACTAGCAGGGTAAATAAAGAGTCCTTCAATTGCCTACAAGGCCCTGTGAGATTTAGGCATGTTACCTCTATTACCCTGTCTCCTCCTGCTCTCCTCCTTTCTCTCTCTACTGTAGCCATGGTGACCTCATTATTGCTCCTAAAGTAGAGGCTTTTGCACTGTGTTCTTTTTGTTAGAGCCATTCTTTCCCCAGATGTCTCTGCATGGCTTTCTTTCTCATTTCTCATGTCTTTGATTAAATGTCATCTTTCAGCCAGGTGCAGTGACTTGTGCCTATAATCCCAGCTACATGGGAAGTAGAGATTGGAAGGATCATTGCTCAAGGCTAGCTCTGGTGAAAAGTTAGCAAGATCCCATCTCAACCAACAAGCTGGGCATGGTGCCACATGCCTGTCATCCCAGCAGGAGGCGTAAGTAGGAGGATGGTTGGACTGGAGGTGTGGCTGAAGTGGTAGAGCACCTGTTTGCAAGTGCGAAACCCTGAGTTCAAACCCCAGTCCCACCAAAAAGGGTGAGAGGGGTATTGGTGGTCCAGGCATACCTAGGCAAACAATGAGAAACCCTATCTGAAAAATAACTAAGGGCAAAAAAGGTTTGAGGAACATGGCTCAGGTGGTACAGTGCATAGCTAGCAAGGTCAAGGCTCTGAGTTCAAACCCTGGTACCACTGGGAAAAAATGTTATCTTTAAGTGTGGCTTACCGCTAAATATCTTATTTTAAAATCCAACCCTTCCTCATCCCAACACACATAGTTCCCTTTTATCCTGATTTTTTGGGCCCTCCCTCCCTTCCTTCCTTCCATCTTCTATGTAGCTCAGGTTGGCCTTGAACTCAAGATTCTCTTGTCTCAACCTCCTGAGTGCTGGGATTACAGACATGCATGACCACTCTTGGGCTCTTTCTTGAATGCATTTTCTTCTTATATACTTCCTTGGTATGATTGCTTATCTCTGCCCACTAAAAGGTCAGCTTTATAAAGCTGACTTTTGTCCTGTTATTCACTAATTTGTCCCAATGGGTTCTTGTTTTTTAGTAGGTGTTCCAAAAATGTTTATTGAATGAATAAATACGTATTACCACATGAATTGTTTTTACTGGATTTTTTTTAATCCAGTGAACAATGAGAGTAAGATGTGAATGTCCACCACAAAATTATTCTTCATTTCCTTTATAATTATACCATCATTTACAAAATTTTGAGACAAAGAAAAATAATCCTTTTGCAAATAACAGGCAAAGGGTAAATAGCCCTAAGAAACAAACATATAACAATAGACATATAGCAAAACAGAAATAAAGAAAACATATAAAGACACCCAAGAATAAATTTATACTGTTCAGAAGCAGCTTGATAGTGGGGTGAGGGAAGGAATAAAAATACTTTGGCATAACTGTGCTCACATTGAGGATATTGTAAAAAAAAAAAAATCTCTGTGGATCTCCTTGTTATTTTATGTTAGGACAACATTGAAGAGGAAGTTCTCTCATGACATGAAATAACTCATGGGAGAGGCTCATGTCAGGGAAAAAAATGCAGTTGCTCCTTCTGAGCAGTTCCTCAGGTTTGAGTGCAGTGATACTCTGAATCTCTCAGGGGATCTTGTTTCGCCATTTACATCTTGGCAGCTAGAAAACTTAGCTCTGCATCTGTGACCAGCTGGTCGTCAGTGTATAGAACCTGTTGGCATATAACTGTTCAAATCAGTCATCTGCTTAGACATCCTTGTTTACATTTGGATTTGATTTCCTCACCCAATATATTTTTTAAAACTTCAAATTTGGATTCTTCACATTGATATATTTCTTTTTCTGGTCAGTGCATTCCAAGGGCTTCTGATCTCACTCAGGGTAAAAGGCCATCCTTGGCCACTATGACCTTACTGGACTACATCCCCGGCTAACTCTCTGGCTGTCCTTCTCAGACCTTGCCCACTCCCCTTTACTCTTTCTGCCCTGGTCAAACAGGAGTCACCTAATACTTTTAACAAAATCTTGTGTTTCTGGCATTATTGAGCTCATGATACATGGTATATGACTACAGAAACAGTTTTTTAAAAAATTTTTGTATCTAGCTTATGATGGCTTTCTAATACATATGTGAATGTACCCTGTGTCCATCAGTGGATGAATGGATAAAGAAATGTGACATATATATGTGCATACACAATAGAATATTATTCAATCTTAAAATAGAAGGAAATTCAGTAATTTACCAAAATAGGATGAACCTGGAAAACACTGTGCTAAATTAAGTAAGCCAGGCACAGAAAATCGACTACTACTTGATCTCACTTATATGTAGACCCTCAAAATTGTGGAACTCATAAAAGGAGGGACCAGAAGGGTGGTTACTGGAGGTGGTGGGGGCAGGTGGTGGGCAATGGGGACATGTTGGTCCGAGGGTAAAGTTTCCATTAGACAGGAGGAATGAGTTTCAGTGACCCATTGCACAGCATGGCAACTTAATAATAATGTATTGTATATTTCACATTTGTTCTAAGTCATTTTTAATGTTCTCAAAAAAGAAAGTATGCTTGGTGGTAGATATGTTTATTACTTTAAGCATCCCACTTTATGTACACATATCAAAGCATCACATCATACTCCATAAATATATATAATTGTTATTTGTCAGTTAAAATTTTTTAAAGAAGAAACCATATCTGTCTTCAAATGGCACATAGGTTACTAGCTGCCCTTTGTACTCGTAGGATTATTGCTATACCTGTCTGGTCAATGCTAAATACTTGTGGTACAGCTCACCCTCTGAGGAGAATTATATTCACCAGCCCCAGTTGAGACTATAACGTTGATAATGACAATTACCTTCCATCCTAGTGCATTCATATTGTCTGCCAGAAGAAAGAAACTGAAACTAATTTCTGGGTTCTTTTTGGAAAACAACAATCACTGCTCTTATGCCACCCATCTCTGATTTTCTCCAGCCATGTGAATCTCCTGAGCTACCTCAGCAATTTCCTTTGGCCTATCTAGTGTGAAACCCCTCTCCTGACCTTGGCCTTTTTATCTGTTTCTATATGTAGCACACATTCATGGGTACCAACTGCCATACCAATCAGGAGCAAAGAGGTTATTTTTCCTAAGAGTAGTTTCTTCTCCATCTTTCCTTTTGCTACCTGGCAAATGTTCCCTGCTGAGTTTAATAGAAAGTAAATATAAATAGTTTTATATCACTCACTGCCTTTTAAGCTCTACTGTGTGTTTACTTCCTGTTTGCCATCCTTGAACTTTGCTCTCAGGGCAAGCCTGATTTGTCAATCAACAGTAGACTGTGGCCAGCTTATCTTTGTCCCCCACCCCATTAGGAATGTAATTGTGAGACTAAGCTGCCTGATCCTTGATTCATAAATGTGGTGTGAGTTTCATTTTGGACTTTATTTGGGATGAACCCCTCATCTTTTGTAGTGTTTCTTCTGAAATATGTGGCACATGGACTTGTAGTTTTGAGGCACCCTAAATTCTCCTTTTACTTTGGGTGATCTCTCACATACCATAGACTGGGCAAGAGTAATATACATCTCCCCACAACATTCCAAATAAGTACCCAGTTCTTAAAAAAATATAAAATGAAAGAAAGAAAACAGATTTTTCTAAGTGTCTTACTCAACAGCAATACCTCAGTGTGGCCCTGTTATGGACTAAATGTTTGTGCTGCCCTCCCCACTTTGTTGAAATCTAATACCCAGTGTGATGGTATTTGGAGGTGGGGTGTCTGAAAAGTAATTAGGTTTTGTAGGTGATACCCTCTTGAATGGATTTATTTCCTTTTTTGGGGGAGGAGGGAGTGGGACTGGGGTTTGAACTCAGGGCTTCACACTTGCAAAGCAGATGCTCTATGGCTTGAGCCATACCTCCAGTGCATTATTCTCTGGTTATTTTGGAGATCAGGTCTCTCGAACCATTTGCCCGGGCTAGCTTAGAACTGAGGTTCTCCCAATTTCAGTCTCTCAAGTAGCTAGATTACAGGAGTGAGTCTCTGGTGCAAATATGAGACCAGAAAGGTAGCCGGGTCTCTCCTTCCACCATGTGACAGTATACATGTGAGAGTTGGCAATCTGTAGCTTGGAAGTGGGTCCTCACCAGAATCCAACCATACTGGCATTATGATGTCAGACTTCCATCCTCCAGAACTGTGAGAAATAAATTTCTATTACTTATCTGTCACCTAGTCTGTGATACTTCACCATAGCAGCCCAAACTAATGTAGGGCTGGGATTCAGTGGCAGCGCATTTGGTCACTGAAGCCTAAAGCATTTATAGGAATTGCAAAATGAAGGCTGAAATGTGGCTCAAGTGGTAGAGCACCCTAGCAAGTGAGAGGTCCTGAGTTCGTACCCCAGCACCACCAAAAAAAAAAAAAAAGTTGCAAAATTAGGTAATACCAAGCCAAGTAGGCCGCTTTTTCAAGTTTGACATCACCTATGTTCTAGGCACTTGTGTGAAGAGGCCATCTCAGCATCCTGCATCCCATGGCCTGAAGATGAGGACTCTTCTCCTGGATATTCTCCTTGGATCATTCTGTCATACTTGGACCTAAACTGAGGTGAACATGGACAAAATCCAGGCCTTCCTGTAGAACAGCTAAACTACCACCTCAGGGCCCTGCAGGTAAGCCTTGCATAGAAGTGAAGGAGATCTACAGTTTGGCAAGGGTTTGGCTATTTGTCTAGGGTGGAAAAACCAGAAATAGATTTTACATGTTAAAACAGAACCAGTGGCCAGCTACACTGAGATCCACAAAGGCACACTTGTGACACATAAATGGCCTGAGGGATTATTGTATTTCATTCCAATGCTGAGATACAGTTATTCAGGATTTTCTCTCTGGTGTGATTTGGAGAGTGCTTCAGTACTAACAGTGAAGTGTCATACCTTGTCCAGAATTAATCTCATTTGCAGTGAGGAGATAAATTAATCCCATAGATGTTGATATCGTTGGAATTTTGGAAGGAGCCATGAAAATGTAGTATCTCTCTTGTTTTACCTTCATGCAGTGTTTTTAAGACCTCTAGCTCTATCCTCCCAATTCTCAGAAGTTTTTATTGAAGTCTTCGTAACCCACCCATATTTTAAAAAGACTGATAAAGTTTTTTTTTAAGTTTGTAATATACGTGATAAAAAGTTAATCTATTTATTGTATTTTTGTAAGTTAAAGCACATTCCCAAAGAATTCCATACAAGGCACTAAATAAAAAGTAGATAAATAAATGATACTGTATGAATCTTTGGTAGATGTATTATTTGTCAACCATTAGAAATACTGTTATGGGGCTGGCTCAAGTGATAGAGCACCTGCCTAATTATCACAAGGCCTCTAGTTCAAACCCCAGTACTACCAAAACAAACTACTATTCTGGAAGAATTTTTCTTGTCTTGAAAAACTGTTCATTAATTCAAGACATTATGTAGAAATGCATAAAAGTATGAGCACTTTTTCATTATGTCAGTTCGTGTATGTGCAGTTATCTGAACAACCTGTAAATAGAGAAAAGCACCATTAAAATGCCATTAAAATAATAGCGAGTGATCTTTTCCCCTAGTTTTTACATTTGTGAATTTTTCAATTTTTTAACAGTGATGACATAGTAATTTGGTGATGATGAGGAGAGGTGAAAAATTTATTTAGAACATAAAACCCCAGTAGAAAAAAATTAAATGGACACAAGTAAACATTTCAATGAAGAAGATAACCAAATAGACAATAAATAGTGAGATGAAATGTGTAATCTCCAAAGTAATTTTTAAAAAGACAAATAGTAATAGTATTAGGATCATACTTTATTATAAATTCTGAAAGATTTTAACAAAGGCAGAAATCAACCCTGGCCAGGGTGAAGAATAGAGTTTTCCCTTCTAGAGAACTAGCCATTTGGGGAAAACAGACAGATTTTTTCGTTTTTTATTTATTATTATTTGTGTGTGTGTGTGTGTGTGTGAGGTACTGGGGTTTGAACTCAGGGCCTCATGCTTGCTAGGCAGGTACTCTACCGCTTGAGCCACTCTCCCAGCTTAAATTTACTTTTTAAAGGCTAGGGTATTGGTTTCTTATTCATCATATTATATAACCTTCAGGCCATTGGAAAAGGGCAAAACCAAGATGACTAAGGGGGAGGGAAAATTTAATCTCTACACATTCAGAGAGCAAGCTTGCCTACCTAGACCAGAAGAGTTAGACATGTGAAACAGGAACTTTTCCCAGTGCTGTCCCTACCACTCTCCTCATCTCATGAAACTTCCCAGAGGGTGGGGGTCATGGTTACCTAGGCAATCAGGAGAATGGCGAAAAGTTTTAAACCTGTGGGCTTCATTTCTGCTGGATTCCTTAAATCCCCAGTTCCCTCCCTGCTTCAGGAACTTTATGGCCCATTCGTGTTCTCTCTCTCCATATCAATCCATGTATGCTGAACTGGAGCTGGACTCCTGGAGACTTCACTCATAGGGCTCTGTCTTTCTTCTGTTATACAGTACATACTATAAACTCCATAAAACAGTCTTCAAAGCAGGAGAGAGAATAGAAAGGGCATCCATCTATTTATTAAATAGACAATCAAGACAAAGGGAAATCACCAAAGAGGGCTCTGGCCTAGGGATTCATGGTTTCCCCTGCAGTTTGTAGGTGCTGCTCCCTTTTCCCTTAATGATGCTATTCTTGTTACACAGACCCTATGATGTATGACAGTAGGCTGAAGGAAGGAGAGACTTGATATGAAGAGATTGAGGAAAAAAACCTATTTTAATAGTTAGAATGGCAATAATGCCAACAGATATCAACCTATATTTAACACTTAATTTGAATCAGGCACAATTCTACATATGTTCATGTATTAACCCATTTAATCCTCAGAACAACTCTGTGTGATAGGTGCTGCTGTTTTACACAAGCGACAGGCCAACAGATATCAACCTATATTTAACACTTAATTTGAATCAGGCACAATTCTACATATGTTCATGTATTAACCCATTTAATCCTCAGAACAACTCTGTGTGATAAGGGCTGCTGTTTTACACAAGGGACAGGTTAAGTATCTAGACCACACAGCTATTAAGTGGATTTCCCCAGGTGCTTTTATTTAGATCTTAAAGTTTCCCCAAAGACCTATGTGTTAATGGCTTGGTCCCTATCCTGTGGTGCTATTGGGAGGTGGTGCAACCTTTAGGAGGTGGGACCTAGTAGAAGGAAATTAGGTCATTAGTGTGTCCTTGAAGTTCCCAGTCTATTGGGACCCTAGCCCCTTCCTTCTTTCTCTTTGCTTCCCAGCCACCATGAGGTGAACAGGCCTCCTCTATCACATATTCCTGCCATGATATAAGCAATGAGGCCAAGTGTCTATGAACTGAAACCATGAGTCAGAAGTAAACCTTGCCTCCTTTTAAGTTGATTCTCTCAGACATTTTGTCACAGTGGTAGAAAGCAGACTGAAACATCAGGTGTGCCACAGGAAGTCCAGCATTGGTAGAATGGCATGCCTTAAATATGCTCAGTATGTCTTACAATTATCTGAGGGTGAGGATCATTTTCTAGGACAACAGGAATAATATATGCTGCTAACCAACCAGTGCAAACCAGACCTTTCCTATACTTGAAACTTCTCATTTGGCCTGAGTTAAGAAATTACTTTACAAATGTTTGATATTGCTGCTTCTGCCAAGGAAATCCCAGGTAACCATTGTTATAACCTGGATTGTATCTGCAACTTGCTTTGCTCTCTTTCCTCCAAGTTAACTGAGTACTCAACGCTTTTTCTTTTTTTTTTAGTGCTAGGAACTGAACTCAGAGTCTCATCCATGCTAGTAGGGAAGTGCTATACCCTCTTAGCTGTCTCCCCAGCCCATACTCACTCTTTAATAGTCACAGAATATTCCACGGTATGGCTATACCTCAATTTAATTCAAACATTTCCCTATTTAAAGTGTTTCCACTTTCTTATTGTTATTTGCAATATTACCGTAAACATTTCTTTTGGATAAATTCCCAGCATAGGATTGCTGAGTGGAAGAGTACCCACAGTTTTGCAAGGTAACATTAAATTCCTTCTTACTCAGATACATAAAACATAACAATGCTCATATTGACCAAGCCCCACCTCCCCTTCAGAGCTAAATATTACCACATTGACATTTTTGCCAATTGTAAGGGTAAGGAAGATCTTACTTTAGCTTTATTTTAAAATTTTCTAGTGTGAATGAGCATCTTTTCATATGGTTTCTGGGCATTTTAAATTTGTTAATATGTGAATGGACTTTTCATACATTTTGTACATTTTTAAAAATTGGGTTTGGGTTTCTGGAGTGGCTCAAAGGGTAGAATGCCTGCCTAGCAAGCGCAAAGCCCTGAGTTCAAACCCCAGTACTGCAAAAAGAAGAATTGGGTTTGCTTTTTAAAAATCAACTTGTAAGAACTCTTTGTATATTATACAAATTAACCTCTCATCTGTTGTAGACTTTGCAAATCTATTTTATTAATCATTTACTTTTTGACTTTGCTTATGGTATCTTTTGCCACTTAAAATTACTGTACTATTAACTTTATATAGTTGAATGTGTGTTTTTTTAATTCTCTAATGAATTCTATATCCCTTGACTTGCTTGAGTCTCTTCGACCCTTAAGTTTTAATTTTCTACATTTTTTGAAGTTGTTTTAACTAAATTTTTAAATTTTGAGATAATTGTAGGTTCTCATGCAATCGTATGATCATATGCATCCTCTATCTTGTTTTCCCTATCATGATACCACAACCAGAAACTTGGCATTCATATAATTCATCAATCTTCTTTGTATTTTTCTTATCATAGATATAGTCATTAACTATGTTTGTGTGTTTATTTTTGTGGAATTTTGTCACATGTGTAGGTTTGTGAGTTCACTACCACCATAGTCAGGATCGAGAACAGCTACATAACCAGAAAGATTCTTCAGCGGTTGCCCTTTCATAACCACACCACCTCCACCTCCTTCTGTGTCAAGTCCCTGTCCCTTGCACTTGGCAACCAGAAATCTCTTTTACATCTCTATAATTTTGTCACTTCAAAAATATTACATACATGGAATTCTAGAGTAAATAACTCTAGGAAACTGATTTGTTTTTTCATGAGCATGATACCCTTAAGATTGATCCAAGTTATGTGTCGCAGTAGTTCATTTGTTTTCTTATTTGCTAAGTAGTAGTTTCCCATAGTGTGGATGTACCACGTATATTTTTAAACCATTTACCCATTGAAGCAATCTATGTGGTTTCTGGTTTAGAACTTTTAGGAATAGAGCTGATATGAACATTTGTTTGTAAGTTTTTGTGTAGACATAAGTTTTCTCATCTTTGGAATCAATGCCCAGGACTGCAATTGCTGGGTTATATTGTTAGTACATGTTAGTGCATGTTTCTTTGTTTTGGAGGATTTATTTACTTTTTTTGTTTGTTTGTTTTTGATGAGACTGGAGTTTGAACTCAGAACTTCATGCTTATAAAGCAGGCACTCCACCATTTGAACTATGCCTCTAGCCCATTTTGTTCTGGTTATTTTGGGGATGGGTTTCGTTGCTGAAACTGACCTCGAACCACGATCCTCCTGATGTCAGCCTCCCAAGTAGCTAGGATTACAGGCATGAGACACCAGTGCCTGACTATATATTTAGTTTTTATAAGAAGCTGCCAAATAATTTTCCAGAATTACTGGACAATTTTACTTTCCTACCAACTATGTAGGGGTGCTCTAGTTCCCCACATTTTCATCCACATTGTGTTGCTACTATTTTTATTAGCCATTCCATTTGTTGAGATATTATTTACATGCCATAGAATTCACCATTTTAATCTGTACAATTGAGTTTTTTTAGTACATTCACAATGTTGTATATTTAGTATCACCGTTTACTAATTCTAGAACATTTTCACTGACACATTAAAACCCCCCCAAATATCCATTCTTTCCCCTCCTTTGTCCCTGGCAACCACTAGTCTGCTTTTTACCTGTATGGACTTGCCTATTTAATATATTTCATATAAATGGAATTTCATAATATGACCATTTATGTTTGGCATCTTTCACTTAGCATAATGGTTTCAGGGCCCTCTAATGTATTTTTCATTTCAGTTGTACTTTTAAATTCTAGAATTGCTCTTCATTTGCTCTTTATAATTTCAGTCTCTTTATTAGTTTTCTCTATTTAATGAAACGTGGTTCTCATACTGAAGTTCATTAGACATGGTTTCTCTTAGGTCTTTGAACTATGCAAATTTTCTCTTCATTTTGATTGAATTTGACAATTTGTGGGGGTTGAGGAATTAGTCAATTTTGTTTAAATTATCAAATTTTGAATATAAATTTACTTGGAAAACTATTATCTTTATAATTATTAGAGATTCTGTGAGCATATCCCTTGAGTTATGCATATTATGAATTATTAATAATTATTAATTATTGGGTAATTTATATCTTCTCTCTATTTTTGTAAGTCTTGCTACAAGTTTATAAAATTTAATACTTTTTCTAAGAACCGGCTTCTTATATTTTTATTTATTTATTTTTTGTAGTACTGGGTTTTAAACTCAGGGCTTCTTACTGGGTATGCATGCTTCTACCATCTGAGCCACACCTCCAGCTCTAGAACTAGCTTTTAAAATGGATTTCTTTGATTTTTTTATTTTCAATTTCACTTTATTTGCTTAAAACCTTTTGTTTTCTTTGTTTATTTTGTTCTTTCTTTTCTAATGTAAACATTATTTCCCTGTCAGCATTGTGTTACATCCCACATATTTTTGTTTCACTTATATTTTCATGCAGTTCTACTTATTTTTAGTTACCTTTTAGACTTCCAGTTTGATCCATTGCAATGCTTGTGTATCATCTATTTTCCAAGTATTTATAGACTTTTCTCTTGTCTCCCTGTTCTTTTCTAGTTTGATTCCATTATGGTCAGATAACATACTACATATGACTTCAATTCTTTTAACATTGTTGAAGATTGTTTTATGGCCCAAAAGGTGATTGGGGTTCCCTATGACTCAGTGCACCTGTTTCTACTTATCTGCATCCCCTCTACATTAAATTGAGAACTGAGCATTTGCAATGTAAGTCTAAGAATTCCCAAATTGCAATCTGTATTTTACTTCCAATGTCTCAAGAGGAATAGCACATTTCTTCTTAATTGTTTGAGGCACTGCTGCAGTAGATTTCAAGTTAAAGAAATAATTTCTTTTTTTAAATTGTTGTATTATGAAAGTTCTTTCTTAAGGGAATAATTTCTTAGTTGCATTTCACATAATTGTTGGTAGGTGGCAGCAAATAACGCAAAAACAAATCCACTCCCTCTTCCCTCCACCCTTTGCATTTTAAAGAAGCATATTTCTTCTGCCTTGAAAGCTGGAATACTCCCTTGGAAAGTATCCCTTTTAAATATCTTTGCCAATTTCAGATGAAAATGATTATTATTTTTAAGTGGCCTTTAAAAATTTTAGTCATGTTGAATTTACTTTTGTATATTTTTATTGGCTAGTTTCCCCTGTAATTTATCTTTTCACTTCCATTGTTCATTTTTTTATTGGGAGTTTTAAAAGATAACTTACGACTTTCCCCTTTTTATCATTATAAAAATCATGTATGTTATTCTGGACAAATTAGAAATGTCAAACATTGTAAAAGAGAAAACAATACCTACATGCTACCAATATTAACATTTTGATACACTTTGCCCTGTTTCTATATTATTAGTATTTTAGTGAGATATTTCATTCAGTTTTGCTTCCTAATCTTAAAATAAAATTAATATCGTGAATCTCTATCTCAGTAAACTTTTTCTGAATATCCTTTAAAATAATTAAAAAATTTTAAGGGTTGGCAGAGTGAGTCAAGTGGTAGAGCATCTGCCTAGCAAGCTTGAGGCCCTAAGTTCAAACCCAGTTCAAATTAAAAAAAACATACAACTAGTTTTTCTGTAAATTCATGATTATTTTTATATTTATTCTTTCGGATTAAATTGAAAATTTGAATAACTTTGCCAGCCCCTCCCCCATTTAGGCTATTTTAAATTTGTACTGCTTGAAATCCATGTATTAATTTGGGAAGAAGTTAAATGTTTAAAATAATTAGTTTTCAGATCGAAGAATATATCTTATCCCTTTATTTACTGATTTCCCTCCTTTATCTTCTCAGGTAAAGTTTTGCCACTTCCTTCTCTTAAGTGAAGGGTATTTCTTCCTTCTTAAACACGTTTCTAGTATTTTATATTTTCCTCATAGTAGCTAGAAAGTGGTTTGACAATGAATGGGGAAAATGACAGTCCACTAACTTGCCTTAGTTATATTGTAGTGAGTTTGGATTCCCATGAAGAATTTTATAGGGGTAAAGGTATAGAATTAAAGCTAGACATAGTGTTGTGCTATGTCCTAATCCAGATTTAACTGTAGTCCCTTTAAAGCTTTGATACACATTCCAGTGTCATTCATTTTTTCATATTCTTTGGAAATAATTTAAAGTTTCCAGAAAAGATGTTAAAATAGTGGAAAGAACTCCCATTATCTCTTGTACTCAAATTGTCCAAATATTTAAGAGTTTGCCACATTTGTTTTTTCATTAGCCTACCTATCTATATCTATCTAATATTTGCTGGGCCATTTTGAGAATAACTTGTGGACCTTGTATTCCTTTACTCCTTAATAATTCTGTGATTATATCCAAGGAATTAGAGAATTCAACTGTATGAGAATAGTCTAATTTTCAACTTTAGGAAAATTTACACTAATATAGTAGTTTTTCTTTCTTCTATTGATCATATTTCATTTTTTCCAATAATCTTGATAGCATGATAACCTTGATAACTTGATGACCTTGATGCATGACATAAACCATGATCATGCATTTCAGCTAGCTACTTGTCATATGCTTTTAGTGTCTTTTAATGTGAAAATGTTACTTGAGCCTTAGATTATGAATCCTCAATCACAACACTATATGAATAACTTTGTATCCTGATCACATACTTTTATTTTTTAAACTTTGTTAGGTGTACTTTACAATCAATAGAATCTACTACTTTTTGTTGTTGTTGGTACTGAGGTTTGAACTCATGGCCTCATGCTTGCTAGGCAAGCGCTCTACCACTTGAGCCTCTCCAGCAGCCCAATCCATACTTTTATTGTGTATTATTGAGTTTTGGTAAAAATATACAGTTATGCAACCTCCACCATAATCCAGCTTTATAACATTCCATCATCCAAAAGTTCCCTTTAGTCTCTTTGCAGTTAATCTCTGTTTCTTCCGATACTAAATGACAATTGATGATCAGAGAACTGATCATCAGCTCCTTCCTAGAATTTCTTATGAATGGAATGATACAGTATGTAGACTTTTATGACTGGCTTCTTTAACTTAGTATACTGGTTTTGAATTTCATCCCTGTTGTAGCATGAGTCATCACTTTTTTTTAATTGTTGAATAATATTCCATTCTATGAATATTCTACAATTTGTTTATCCATTCACTAGATGATAGAAATTAGGGTTGTTTCCACTTTTTGTCTTTATGGACAATATTGCTATGAACATTGTTGTGTAAGTTTTTGTTTTTCATGTTTTCATTTCTTTTGGGTTTAGATCCAGGAATGGGATTATTGTGTTACCCACTAACTCTATGTTTAACTTTTTGAGGGACTTTGAGGCTGTGTCAAATTGGCCATACCACTGCACCAGCAATTAATTAATAATTATTCCCATTTCTCCACATCCATGCCAGCATTTGTAATTGTCAGGCTTTGGATGCTAGCTATATTAATGGTTATGAAGTATACCTCATGGTGGTTTGTATTTGCATGTACCTAATAGCTGATTATATTGAGAATCTTTTCATGTTCTTATTCTTTATTTGTTCTCCTTTGTAGAACATCTATTCTGATCCTTTGCCCATTTTTAAATTGGGTTACTAATGTATTTTGAGTTTTAATAATATTTGTATATTTTTATATATTTTGGATAATAATTTTTAGCAAAGATACAGTTACAAAACCATCACTGTAATCTCAAAGTAGAACATTTTTCATATTCCCAGTAAGAAGTGTGTATTCCATTTATATCTTTTTCAGCTTTTTGAGACAGGTCTTGTAATGTAGTCCAGACTGATCTGGAATTGTGTGTATCCCAGATCTACCTTGCCTCAGCTTTGTGGGTACTAGGATTACAGGTGTGCACCACCATGCTAAGCTTCACTTACATTGAATGTATATCTCTAGCCCCATCCCAATACAATCATTGATTTACTTTCTGTGCCTATAGAGTTTCCTTTACAGGACATTTCATGTCAGTGGACTTATGCAATATGTGCTCTTTTATATTTATCTATTCTTCAGTTGGGCTGTTTCACATTTGGCTATTATAGACATTTATATATAAAGTATTTTAGTATCATCTTTATTGAGATACAATTCTGGTACCAAACAATTTACCCACTAAAGTGTAGAATTGGCGTTTTTTAGTATATTCATGGAACTGTTCAACCATCACCACAATCAATGTTAGAATATTTTCAGCATCCTAAAAAAGACACCCCATAAATTTTAGCTATCCCTCCCCTCATTGCTCTCAGTCAAAGGCAATCATTAATCTCTTTTCTGTCTCTATGTATTCTGGACATTTTAGGTGAATGGGATAATGAAATGCATGGTCTTTTATGGCAGACTTTTTTCACTTAGGATGATCTCCTTAAGGTTCATCCAGGTTGTAGCACCTATCAATATTTCCTTCCTTTTATGGCCTAATTAAATTGCACTGTGTGTATATACCATATTCTGTTTATCCATTCATCACCTGATGAAATGTTTGGGTAGTTTTTACCTTGTGGCTATTGTGAATAATGCCACTTTCAACAGTCATATAGAATTTTTATGTGAATATGTTTTCATTTATTTTGGGGTTTATAGCTAGGAGTAGAATTGTTGGACCAAATATTTTACAGTTTCAGGAACAGCCAGGCATTTTGTAAAGCAGCTGTACCAGTTTAAATTATCACCAGCAGTATAAGAAATTCCTTATTTCTCCACATCCTTGCCAACAATTACTGTATCTGTATTTTTTTATTATATCCATCCTAGTGAGTCAAAAATGGTACCTAATTATAGTTTTGATTACCATTTTCCTGATAACTAATGACTGTGTCTTTTTTTACATGGTGTTTGGACATTTGCATGTCTTCTTTGGAGAAATGTTTAATCAGGTCCTTTATATTTTAAATTATTTTTTTCTTACTGAGTTGTAGAAGGTTACATATTCTAGATATGAATCCTTTATCATATAAATTATTTGCGAATATTCTCTTCTTTCTGTGGAATGTCTTTATTATATTGAGTGAAATCTGTTATGTTTATTTGTCTTACTATTCCTGAGAGGTATTTTAGATGTTGGAATAGATATAAAATTCACACCTACCTACAGATAGGGGACTAGGATTGGGGAATATGCTAGTCATTAAGAAAACAGACTTCAATGTCAGAAAATAAAAAGGTTGGCTACCAGAGTGACCACATACTAGTTGTGAGTTTGAGTAAATTTTCCTATTTCATGGAGCCTAAGGTATTACTTGTTTTGTTTCATTTTATTTTGGTGGGACTGGGGTTTGAACTCAAGGCCTCACACTTGCAAAGCAGATGCTCTACTCCTTAAGCCACACCTCCAGCCCATTTTGCTCTGGCTCTTTTGGAGATGAAGTCTTGCTAACTATTTGCCTGGGCTGGCCTCCAACCTTGATCCTTCCAACCTCATGCTCCAAATAGCTAGAATTACAGGAGTGAGCCACCTGCACCCAGCTTGGACCCCAAGATCAGTTTTGTCTATCTCATATACTTGCAGTGAGAATAAAATGTAATATTTTTAAATGGCTACTATAAAATAAAGAAAATAAGTGTTGGTGAGGGTTTGTACAAATGGGAACCCTTGCACATTGTCAGTGGGAATGTAAAATGGTACAGCTATTATGAAAAACAGTATGGTGTTTCCTCAAAAAACAAAAAATAGAATTACCACATTATTCAAAAATGTTTCTAGCCATGTAACCCAAAAGAACTGAAATCAGTGTCTCAGAAACA